TCTGGTTGAAATTTATATATTAAAGCAACTTCGATAAGAAAACATTGTAAATGAGCTGAAACAAAAATTCTCACAATTGTTTCTTCTATCAAAATTGTCTAAAGAATTCTAATCTATTTTAAGTAAAAAAGATATGATACTATTTTTAACTAATTCAGTAAGAAGTACATCCCAAAGCCCAAATAAGATTTACACCCTTTTATTACGTCACAACCCAATTTATTGTTCACCTTGGTTTCTCTAATGCTAATTATCGGGATCTTGATTCAAGATGAGAGCTCCGCTATTGCTGGATCATTTTGATAGTGTCTCGGGAAGGCTTGGTGCTAACTCTTTTGCAAATAAAAATAATACCCCTAAATTGCAAGAATAATGGATAAGGCAAAATAAGCAAACATTGAACGTAACTGCTTCAGGTTAAAATAGCATGATATAATTAATTGCATGAAACATGGTAATTGATCAGCAACAAATTCACTGCCTTTTTTTTACTGAAGCCTCAAAGTTAATTTTATATTGAGGAAGATTGAATCAGGTAAAGTCATTTTGCTTGCTATCAAAAAAGCCTCTTTTCTGAGGCCTACAAAAGTCAGCCGAAATTAACATGATAAAAATCTTAATTTTGAAGCTTCACTCTATCTTGACTATTATGTATCTTCCCATTTCCTGATTAGTACTCCCTTGAGAAGAGTAGGAATCTCTGAATGCGTCATAGTATTTTAGTGTGTATAATATACTTCATCCCTGAACCAAATAGTTTTGGCTTGCATAATCAAGGTTCGAATCGTGCCAAATTTGCTGATGGGGCTTTGGTGAGAAAGAATTCGCATTTTATCTTGGCTGAAGAGTCTCTTCTGCTATGCATTAAATAGGGCATAATCAAGCCTTCCCATACACTCATCGTAAATAGAGTAATTGAGAATATTTATCAAATGAATCATTGGATTATTAACCGCATTTTTATTTTTTTATTATTTTCCCCTTCTATGATATCTGCCATTAATAGCACTCGCAATTTGCAAATTTACAAATTTTTTAAAATTTTTTATTTTAGTTGGCTGTATGGTGTCATCAGGCCAAAACGTTACAAAATTTTAAGGTCATCTTTTGAAAACACCTTGTTGATAGCTGAATCCCTTAGCTTTTCGATCTTTCTTTTTTTTTCCACTAGTCAGTCTGACAACTCATTCAATACATTTCAGACTTTTGATACTACAGTAAGACCTCTTAACCTCATTAAATTAACGATAGCTACTTGGTGCAATTTAATATTAGCATCTGTCCGCCTGCAGAAGCTGATAAGTCTGATGTGCGGGCGGTTGGAGCTCATATATACAAAAGGAAGGAAAAAAAATGCTAACAAGAATAAAGATCTAGTCGAAGAAATCAAAGTTGCTCAAACAATCAGCACAGGTAAAGCTTATTTCAACCAAGACGATGAAGTAAATGAAACTTTAGACTTTAGCCTCCTTTTCCTGACAGCATTGCCCGGACTTAAAGGAGAATGGCCTGAACGATTGCTGTTAGCACAAGCAACAAGTCTATTAGATGAGGACATGAAAGCGACAAATCTTATAACTCAAACCACAAAAAGCAAGACAATCTGGTCACAAAACAGGACTCAACGGCTTAGTGAAGATATTTATTCAGAGGAAGAAGAATTTCATCCAACCATTGTGAGGCCTCAAATGAAAAAGTTGCCCCCAACGGCCACAAACAAGGTAGCTGAAGCGATAGTGGAGAAGTTTATTAATGAACAAAATGCTAGTGACGACGAAGATGACCTTTTCATAGAGCCATCCAAAGAGGAAAAAGAAGTTACGAATAATCGTAAAATTTCAAGTTTAGAAAAAGAAGTTGATAGAAGTAGAAAACCACATTTCACGCGTTTTGATGATCAAAAGTCTGATGTATCAATTAAAGTAATAGAAAGACCCATTTCGCCATCCTCAAATAATCGAAAGGTAAATTTAGGATATGACATTATAAGGGAGAAGCCAACTATGAGTATGTCCACAGGAGTAGGAGTGTTCGAAGCTCAAAAAGCGATTGAAGTCAAGATTACAAAAAAGCAATCGGAAGCACCAATGTTAACCGAACATACAAGAAGGAAGTTTGACACAAAATTTTATGAATCCGACGTCTCCATAAAGAGAGGAGAAGTGACAGCAAACGAATCGAGATCATATCAGACTTACCCGGAAGTAAATCACAAAAGCGGTTTCAAAGTACAAGAATCTGATGAAGAAATAGTCGAATGGAAGAAGGGGTCGGAAGGATACCAAAATGTTGTTTTTGAAGATACTTCTCCCGAGGTAGAAGAAGAAAAGGCGCAACAAAGTAGGCCAATCCTGAAAGAGTCAATTCCGCGTAAAAGTTCTGCAAATAAGCTATTTCTCAAAAGCGATTCGAGCCCTTCCTTATCTTCTGCACAAAGCCAGCTCAATAAGCCCCAGGCAGATACAGAATTACCTCCAACTCCCACCAGCTTGACACCAGTGTCTATGGCAATTATCGATCTATCAGCACAATCTAGGCATAAAAATAAAACGAAGGACATATCACTTGAAGGCGTATCGGTAAACAGTGAAAGTGGAGAGGAGCACAGATGGAACCTATCACCGCTGCCATCGAGCGTAACCAAGGAGAATGAGTACAAGGATGAAAAGACAACGGTCGTTCAATGTGCTGAAGACAGGATAAATAGCGTGAAGGAGCTTCCTTTGAAGGTAAATAGTGCATCAAAACTGGAAAGCTCGGAAAACGACATGCAAACTTCACAATTTTGCAGCCCAGAGAAGGACAATAGTAAATATGGTGAATCTGATTGGGAGGAAATTGGCTACAGTAACGTGCCGCCTCATTTCGATACCATCTCGTGTGAAGATGACACGAGTCCTGCTACAATCGTCAGATTAACTGGCTCAGCCACTGAACCTTTGGCTGCAGAAGAGCCGGCAAGATGGAGCTTTGTGTTCGGGCCGTCCGGAGAGGCCTTACCAGAGCTTAAAAAGCACATTATGGAGCCCAATTTCTTCGCAACCTACCAGGACTACATTGAAAGTGGTCGCTTTGTTCGCGACGTCCAGCCTGAACCAACCGCGTCCATGACCATTCTGCACAAAGATCCGGTAACCGAGGCTCCAGGGGCATTGGTCGTGGTGAATAGCACAATTATCCCATCAAGCCCGATCTCATTGCCGCGGCAGATGCGCTCTGGACGCCTGTTGCACCGACAGCACATCGAGATCATCTCCTCTCAGCTGACTCGATGCGCCACCGGATCGGACATAACGGATCCAGACGATCTGATATGGAGGCCGGTGGAGCGCGAAATCCCATTAGAAGAGATGAAAGCAATCGCCTCAAGCAAACCGATCCTGCGAAGGTCCAGTTCCGCTCTCGAGTATACTGCCGACCGGGCCAGTCCGCTTTCCACGAACACCGCCGAAGCGAGGATAGAACTTGTCTATCAAGCCGATCCTGGCGTCGTCAGAACTCCTGTCATCCGTAGCCATGGTCTTACCAGCACAGCTCGAAGCCAGCTGTTCGGCAGCCTCAACTCTTTGCTGGACGCTCAAAGGGTTATTCAGATTGTCCGCGCAAAGCCACATTTTAAGTTGCCCCCGCGAGGTGATGAAGAAGACGAACCACGATCAGGCAAGCTGGTGCATAAGAACAAACCAATTTTGCATGACGCTGAGCTGACTGATGAAGAGGATGAATATGAGAATGTAAACGATAAGACAAAAAGAGAGGAAACCGACAGAGACATGGATGACGCTGAAACTGCAAGCGACACGATTGACAGTGAAAATATACCCCTTTTTCAGACCATACTACGAAACTCTTCTCAGTCAGGCCGCATGGCACCGCTGAGGGCCTATTCTCTCTTGGATCGTGGTTCAAACATGCAAAACGAACAACCGCCATGTTCCGATGAGAAAGTGTTTCCGCTTCGGACATCGCCACCTCCAGAATGGGTTGATCTGGAAGACGGAATCATTTCGGAACTTGCCAGTCTTGGCCTTGATTCGGAGAGCTCGTTAAGCTCAATCATGGAGGATGATGAGATACTTGACAGTTGGACTGGAAATTCGAGTCTTTCGGACCTTTATGGCGACTTCGTGAGTGTGGAGAAAGTGTTGGCTGCTAATTTAAAGCCTGTATTAACCGCAAAGCCATGAAAAATGAGTTTTATGCTGACATTTGCGCAACTTCAGCATGTCGACACATTCACCAAGTAAATTTGCTACAATAATTCACTTCGAATTATTTTCGTAAAGTTTCGAGAGATGAGCTCTCCTTTATTTTGCCAAGAAGACGTGGAGTAGACATTTATATATTTACAATATAAGGGCCATGATTCTTCTTTCATTACAACGGTTCGCCTAGTAACCAACATCCTGCGGTTGAGCAAGCTTTCTATATAAAAGTTTTTTTTTCAATTTGCCCAATCTCAACTTGTGTCTCCTGTATTTTAAGACATTCCCATTCAAAACGCTTTGTTTTCACAAGATCGCAATCAGTTTAGCTCAACTCCAAATAATTTTTCCCTTTTTCGAAGACAAGTTTTTGCATTTTCAAAGTTTTTATACACCTTTTGATTTCGCTTCTTGACCCTTTTAACATCCTCCCTTATGCTCATTTGTAAAAGACCATCTGCCCCATAAGAGATAAATTAATATTAAAGATTAAGGCAGCCTAACTACTTAACGAATATCTGACCCACCTAACCTGTTCCTAATATAATTTGTATATAGATTCTTCCAAATCATGCTCCATAAAACCAAGAAATCTAATTTAAATTAATTTTATCATAACAGATAACATTTTAAGATTAAATATCAAAATCTATAATATATGCATACTGGATAGAGCACTAAATTAATGTTATTTCTGTGGCAGGGATCCTTATATTATGCCAATACCCTTCATTTTCTATCGAGCTTATGACATTCATTTGAGTTATTTTTTGCATCTTGATCTGTTTGATGCGAAATTTTCGCAAGGATGACTATTTTGTCTCGAAGCTTTACCAAGTAATAACTCTTGAATATTAGGCCCCATCGCAGAAAGAAAAACTTAAATCTTTCCTTTCCTGAAGCCAATAAGAGTAGAAATCATGTCGGGAGACCAATTTAGGCTCAATCTACTTCGACTTTAGTGGTTTTTTAAGCTAGATTTATTTATTTAGCCTGAATTCCTTCAGCCTTTCGATAAGATAAGATAGCTCATCTAACTTAGCAACACCTATGGAATTTAAGAAGGGTTTCTGTGACAATATTTACTGTTCGTACGTGATAATTGATTTGAAGGGCAATTCTCCTTATATATTATAGTCTAGAATTTCTTCCAGTTTTTCCAGACCGCATCTAAATAGTTGAATCAGATTAGAGAAAAGGTTATCTAAGCACATGTAACTCGTGTTTGTGTCATTTTGTCCATGAGAGGGATTATTATGATCACTTAGAGGAACTTGGAAATTGACTTCTTGCAAGATCAAATACCTTATTGTAAAAAAGAATAAAGGCTATCGATAGAGACAGATTAAATTATTTGGTAGGGCTAATGAAAACATCAAATAAGTATATTTTGTTCTTTATAAAATCCTTTCTACTTTAGGTATGTCAGTGGCTATTAACTATTCTAAATACAGTATATGAAGCCAAAAATTACAATTCCTTTAATTTGCCATTAGTATACTGACAAGATCATGGAAATAATAGCAATTTAATTCTAGAAAATTCTGGAAAAGCATTTTGTAAAGATATCAAATATTATTTGATGGCCTTATCTTATGCAACTGATTAACTGGTAGTCTTGAAACCCTACTTATGAACAGATAACAAGTGATTTAGTCAATTTTTATAGTGTTGTTAGTCTTGGATATTTGAAATTCAATGGAAAAGTTAGCTCTACTCATATCATTGTGGGAAAATTTAACTAACAGTACTTCATCTCATACGAAATAGGATGAATATATCTCGTTTACTCAATATATTTACGCAGAATTCAAGTATAATAAGTTCCGACCGAATTTTAGACTTGAATAGAAATAGAAATTTATAACATGTGATTCGGGCATAAATACTTTGTATGCCCACTGTGGAATATCTGCTAATTGGAGTTTCCTAAATGTACAATATATAATCAAATAAAAGTGCATTTTAACATTTGTGATTCTCCCTGATAAAACTACTCTCTTTTTCAATATTCTACAAACATTGTCTTCATTAAATCGGCCTAAAAGTTATAATATTGTAAAACAGATTTTGTTTTCCTTTCCAAATGGGTTTTATGAGGCAAAATAGAAATAAAATGGTGCGCACAAAGGGTTACTCACATTCACTATGGTGTTGTTCTCTGGAGGAATGACCAATTATTGATGAGCCAGCCCCTCAAACAGACTCGTCATATATTTTTTACATGATAGTTGCAATCACTCTATGTTACATGAGCTGATATGCGGCAAACAGCTGATGATCTGAGTGAGCCATACGATGCCACTGCCTGTCAAAATATATTCTCATCTGGGCTTGACTGTAGTTCAGAGCTAGCCTTAATTTCATCAACATTCACAACGGGGTTAGCAAAAGGGTTTTGTGGTTAGACCCTAAATACTACAGCCAAGAGTGTCAGTGCATTACAAGGAACGCGGACGTGATACCTTCCAAGACGTTCCACTGAGATCCCAATGAGCCTTGCCATACTTAGCACCACACTGGAACTGGTCCAGGCGACAAGTAAAGTCACTCCTTTGACCTCTCTCCTTCTGTCCTGGCGTATTTGTCTATTATATATTTCCTGTAATAACCTTCACTATCATCTTTACCGTATAGCCCTCGTTGTCAGGCCATTACTTCGCGCACCACTTCCATTATGCGACTCAACTGCTAATAGCAAATGCTCTCCGTCGCATCTTTCGCTTTTCTATCCATACTCTCATATCCTATGTCCTGGTAGCTTCTGTGCCGAATCCCATTCGCAATAGTTGTTTAACTTACTTTGGTTAGAAGTGGGTTGACCTTGCTGTCGCAACTTGGTTTTGTTGTCAGGGAGATTTAGTAGAACGCACCTGGTCCGAAGTCGTCTGCAATAGTAGTTGTCATGATTCCCAGCATCAGACAGTGGACTTGGTACATTCTCAAAGAGACAAGTCTCTTTGACGAGTTCGTAGCTTGGTGCGGCGAATTGCGTAACGTTTTGAGAATGTACCAAGTCCACTGTCTGATGCTGGGAATCATGACAACTACTATGGCAGACGACT